GAACCAGGGCTCCAAAGTCTTTGCCAGAGATCTGTTTGCCAGAATGAGCCAACTGTCAAAGCTGAAGACTGAGTGTGGCAGCATCGTTTCCGGGACACCTGAGATTTTGAGTGAGATTGAGAGGTACTATGGGCAGCTGTACACATCATCGTTGGAGCAAGTGTTAGTAACGATCCAAGAGCAAGTCTTACCCGACACTATTCCGATGATATCCTGGACGTCAGTCTGAGCGAGATTAGAATGGCTCTCCAGCACCTTAAAAACGGCAGGGCCCCAGGCGAGGATGGAATTATAGCGGAACTTCTGAAAGCGGGTGGAACACCGGTACTTGAAGTCCTTCAGAAGCTCTTCAATTCCGTCCTCCATGGTGGCACTACTCCGGAGGCGTGGAGCAGAAGTGCGGTGGTCTTGTTCTTTAAGAAAGGCGACAACGCTCTCTTGAAGAACTACAGACCGATTTCCCTTCTGAGCCGCGTCTACGTGCTGTTTTCGAGAGTCATTACGAATCGTCTCGCACGCAGACTCAACGACTTCCAACCTCCCGAACAAGCCGGTTTCCGAAAAGGCTTTAGTACCATAGACCACATACATACCCTGCGGCAGATTGTACAGAAGACCGAAGAGTACAATCTGCCACTTTGCCTGGCGTATGTGGACTATGAGAAAGCCTTTGATTCCGTCGAAATTTGGGCGGTGCTACAGTCCCTTCAGCGGTGCCAAGTTGACTGTCGGTATATCGAAGTGCTGAAGTGTTTGTACAGTAGGGCTACGATGGCTATCCGAATACAGAACCAGAGTTCGAAACCTATCCAACTGCAGAGAGGTGTAAGACAGGGTGACGTTATATCCCCGAAACTCTTCATCGCTGCGTTGGAAGGCGTTTTCAAGCTACTGGACTGGAAAGGATACGGTATTAACATCAATGGCGAGTACATCACTCACCTTCGATTTGCCGACGATGTAGTCCTTATGGCAGAATCGCTGAATAGAGGACCTTAGCACTATGCTCAATGACCTCAATGGTGTCTCCCAACGAATAGGTCTTAAGATGAACATGGACAACACAAAGATCATGTTCAATGTCCATGTCACACCTGTGCCGGTAGTTGTTGGGAGCACTATGCTCGAAGTTGTTGACGAGTACGTTTACCTGGGACAAATAGTCCGACTAGGTAAGTCCAATTTCGACCGAGAGGTCAATCGACGGATTCAACTCGGCTGGGCAGCGTTCGGGAAATTACGACACATCTTCTCGTCAGGTATACCTCAATCTCTGAAAACTAAAGTGTACAACCAGTGCGTGTTGCCAGTGATGACTTACGGATCAGAGACGTGGTCCTTCACTGCTGGCCGTATGAGGACGCTCAAGGTCGCTCAGCGAGCTATGGAGAGGGCTATGCTCGGAGTTTCTCTGCGTGATGAAATGAGGATATCCGCAGTAAAACCAGAGTGACCGACGTAGCCCAACGGATTAGTAAGCTGAAGTGGCAATGGGCCGGCCATATAGCTCGAAGAACCGATAACCGATGGGGAAGAAAGGTTCTCGAGTGGCAGCCTCGTAGCGCTGGGCGTAGTGTAGGGCGACCCCCCACTAGATGGAGTGACGACCTGGTAAGACATGCAGCAAGTCGATGGATGCGGGTGGCTCAGGACCGTGCTTTGTGGCATTACTTGGGAGAGGCCTATGTTCAGCAGTGGACTTGTAAAGGGCTGTAATGATGATGAATGATGAAACCACAGAAAGCCCTATAATGTAGATTAGTTCTTTTTTTGAGCTACAATTTTGTCCTTTATACAAACACTAGGAAAAACAAAGTAACTTTTTGCTGGCGATAATGATAGTTGTATTTTAACTCGATGTGGAATCTATGCTTGTTCTTACGGAACTCTTCATTGGCTTGCGAGGCCGATTCACATTGTGCCATTTTTTCAAATTTTAGTTATATTTTATTAATTATTTTTTCGTTTAAGTGGAGCTCTCTTATTTTAAATTTATTACATACATCTAAAACAATCAACCTAAGTAGGTAAAGTGTGTAAATACGATTGTTAAATTGTAAAAATAATAATGGGATTTGATCATCTTAGGTAGGTATTTACTTTTATTTATTTAGAAAGTATTAGTATTAAAATAATTATTTTAATAATATAATTTTATCACACAACTAACGCCCTCATCAGCAATGTAATCGTGAAAGAATTTTCAAAATCGGTCAAGTATATTTCGAGATTAGCTAATAAACACATATTCACGTTAAGTAGCGCCCTCTATAATAAAATGCATCCTACATTAGATATCTATAATTATACATAACATTATAGCAGTGAAAGTATTTTACGAGTTTAGCTAAATAAATATATTCGTTGAAAGTAACGTCCTCTATCATAAAATGCATCGTACGTTTCACAGTCATAATAGAATTGTAATGATGAAAGAATTTTTTAAATCGGTCAAGTAGTTTTTAAGCACCATTGCAAAAAGCGATTCAGCTTAGCCACCCGCACGCACAGTAAAAACATAACCATCCTTTTTCGTCTGTAGTCGGATAAACAACTGGTTGACTACGGTTGCGTATCGGCTGCTTTGGATAAATATCCGTTGTCAACGGTTGCTTTACACCTATATCATAACATCATAATAATTAACGAAAAGTTATATCGATTAAAAAAGGGAATCGATTTTAATGAGATTTGTGACTGGCAACATTTTTTATTTTATCAACAAACTAATGAATTACGCATTTACCTAATTTTATTTTTATCATTTCAGTACCTTTTTTTGTGCAAAAATATTCCCATCTTTTTAGGATAAATGAATACCGCGATTAATAACCATAAATAAAGATGTATTTTTTTAACAAATGCATATTGTTGGGCGTTCCATGGCCGAAAATGGGCATCCCCCTTTGGTTTCCTTTGTTGAGACTCAAACGCAAGCCATTGACGCTAGCCAGGAAATAGACGTAATTTATACAGATCTCAGCAAAGCCTTTGATAAGGTGCCGCATGAAGTATTGATTAAGAAGTTGTAAATTTATGGTATTAATGGAACCTTGTTAAACTGGTTTGAATCATATCTGAATAAGCGCAAATTCTTTGTAGTAGTTGGTAGTAAATGGTTTTAATTCTAAGGAATATGACATAGATTCGGGAGTACCACAGGGTTCAAACCTGGGTCCTATTTTGTTTAACATTTTTGTTAATGACGTTGTTGATTGCATCTTGTATTCTACTCCGTACTTGTACGCCGATGACTTGAAGTTACTACGAGTAATAAAAACGACACAGGATTCCATATTATTACAAGAGGATATAAATAGTCTAAGTCGTTGGTGTGAACGGAATGGCATGCAACTGTGTGCAAATGTGTTTATGTCAAATTTACCCGAAAACAGAAAACTTTAGACTCTGCTTATTTTATTAATGGTATAAAATTACAGGAAGCTGACCATATAAGAGATCTTGGTGTGATAGTTGACAGAAAGTTAACCTTTGCTGCCCACTTAGAGAGTATTATAAAAAGAGCTTCAAACATGCTTGGATTTATTATTAGAATGGGCAAGCAGTTTCGGAGGTTGCAAACAAAAAGGCTCCTGTACAACTCTTTTGTCCTGAGTGGAATACTGCAGTGTAGTGTGGTGACCACACTATGCATGTCACTCTTTAAGGTTGGAACGGATTCAGAAGAGATATCTTTGGCACCTAGCATACTCAGCCAATAAATGTAAAAAAGTGTTTTCCTACAAAAACAGATTGAAACACTTTAAGTACACTACCTTGGAAAACCGTCGTATAATGCTTGATCTCGTCTTTTTATACAAATTATTTAACAACAAAATAGATTGCCCAGGCTTACTGAGAAAATTTAGATTCAATGTACCACACAAATTACCTAGGACTAAATATCACCATTAGTTCCACCATTGCGCACAACAGTTTTGGACTCAAGTTCATTTGTCCCTAGAGCAAGCAGACTTCTAAACTGTTATGGTAAAAACATAGATATCCATGCTACAAGTCTGAATACGTTTCGCAAACACTTGCGAAAAACCATAGTCGAATTATAATTAAGTAATTTGTTCATTTATATACTGTGCTGTTATTGTTTCCTTTTTTCTCTTTCTTTTTCTCATTTATTGTGAACACATTAAGTCACTTATAAATATTGGATGTTACTACCCTTAATATTTTGTGCATGTGGTGTTTACCTTAATTAATTGTGCATTTGGCTGTACATGTTATTGTTAAATACTCATTGATGTATTATTGTTACAATTACTGGTAAACCTAATAAATAAAATAATAAAATAAAATAAATAAATAGTTATAGAAAGTAGAACCTGCGTTTATTGGACAAATTATGTTAACGTTTTTCCCATCTAATGCTCCAATACAATTGGGAAAATGCCAAAATTGTTTAAAGTTATTTGCAATATCCTTCCACATTTGTTCTGATGGTGTAGGCATTACAATAGGTGCCATTTTTTCCAAATCGCTTCACACACTTCTTGTACTATAACTCTCACAGTCGACAATCCCATGCGATAGTTGAACGCCAACGATCGAAAAGTGTGTCCAGTAGCTAAAACTCTGAAAATAAATAAACAATTATTATTATTTGTTACAGTAAATAAGTGCAAGGATGACTTGGCGAAACTAAGGAATGCTTTCGCCAGCGCTTTGAAGCGACGAAGGTACAAGAAAAGTGGATAGGCTGCTGCAGCGTTAGTGCCATGGAAACATGAAGAGAGCATGGGTTTTCTTCTTCCTTATATGGAATGTAGAAACACAAAAACAAACGTGATGCCTACACCGGAATCACCACCTACAGAGGACTCTCTCGACGAAAGTCTTTCAGCAAGTCCAAGTACTACTCGAAGTCATTCTCAATCCAGTTCGTCACGTGGAAAACTAATCACGAACCCAAACTACAAGAGTTGTACGATTTAATGAAATCGTCCCAAGATTTAAGACGTCAGAAACAAAATGTTAGACAAGACATGGACGAAACTGATTTATTCTTCTTTAGTATGAGCAAAGAAGTAAAGCTGTCAAAACTGGAACAAACAAAAATAAAGTTAGTCTTGCACACCGCTATTTCCCAAGCAGTAATACGGCAATTGGAACACAGACACAAGCTTTTAAGAACGCCTATAAAAATTCTCTCAACTCAGAGATTCATTCAATCAACTCCACAACATCAGTCCTCAACATTCATCCAATCAAGTCCGCAACATCAGTCCTCAACATACATCCAATCAAGTCCGCAACATCAGTCCTCAACATACATCCAATCAAGTCCGCAACATCAGTCCTCAACATACATCCAATCAAGTCCGCAACATACCGAGATCAGTCCTCAACATACATCCAATAAGACGCAACATCAGTCCTCAACATACATCCAATCAAGTCCGCAACATCAGTCCTCAACATACATCCAAACTACTGCAGACGTTCAATCACCAACATACAACCAGTCAACTACACACGCTCAGTCACCCACATATATCCAGTCATCATCAGATGACTTGAAGGCATACTATGACAGTATAAATTTGGATGATGGTGAACTTGAAAATGATGGTTGAACTAATGATTTAATGATAAAACAATGATTGTTAAAATAATAAATAAGACAGCAGAGTGTGATTACTTAAATGTTGATTTCATAATAATGCTAGTTTCATGATAAATGATTGTTAAACCTAATAATAATAACTTACCTTAAACATAAGGAAAGTCTTTCTTTAGTACCTATGGGTTCGCGACATTTAGTGTGTACTTTTTTATGTCTCCTTCAATCAACGAATGGACTTCCTCATATTGTGCTTTGTTCATTCTAAAGTACTGATGAAATTTCGCTTCGTCACTCTCTAATTCTTTAACAAGACGATGAAATTCACCTTTGTCTTGTTTCCCTCTGTTTATAGGGTGAACCCAGTATCTTCTTTTCTTTTTTTTTGCGCTTTAATTTCTCTTAGCAATGAAATTTCTTGAAGTTTTGTTGCTAAGAGAAATTGAAGGTCTTCATCAAAATCACTATCCGAATCAGAAGAAAACATTATGTATGTTTGAACGCCGCAAAGGTTCGTTAAGTACTGTTCAAAAATAACGCCAGAGTACGCCACGACACGACACGTTAGTGTGCATACTCACCGTCACGTCAGTAAGTTTCACGACACGCCACGACACGTAAATATGTTTCCGCCTTATGGCATAATAATAGATAGCGCTCAAACTATTGTGGGAAGCAAGACCCAACCTGTATATAGAACCTTTTCTCCACTGAACGTTGTGATCGTTATGAAACCGCGATATGTTCTAGTACCTTCCAGTTAAAAGATTTGAATGACGACCGAGTATAAAAGTGTGTACCGGCTATCGAACAGTTAATTATTAGAAAACGCGAAAGTAAATACACTTCAGAAAGCGACTACAATCAATAGATCTACGATTATTCAGGGTCTCGCCGAAGAAGATTAGCAGTTTTGGACGACGTAATTATAAATGTAATTATAAAAAGTAAGTACATAATACATCCATTCCTTATTATATTTGATATTCTTACTCACACCCACGTAACAATGTTGCGTTTTTTATTTGTAGTGCTGGCAACAATCAAATTAAGACTTCTCGTATGCCATGTTATACAATATACATAGGTACATGATAAAGGTAACATTCTAAATTCATTAAGCATTACAAGTAATAGACATACTCCAATCAAAATGATTAAACAGAAAACAATTTGCTATACAATTTCTGATATAAATGTGATTTGTGATCCCATAACAGAAACTTTTTTATTCAATATAAATTATAAATAATAATTATTGAAAGTCACGTTTTTTAATTTGCCACTGGTTCGGAAAACCTTCTGCCCTGGGAAGAACCAACAACAAACACAGCGGGACTTGAAAAACAACGGTGTACTCTACAAGCCAACCCCACAACGTCCCGCTCATTTCAAATGCAAAGCGTTTCACCACTTATACCACACTATAGCCCCTAGTCAGTCCATCTTCACCTGGGTGCTTGTCCAACAAACGACCCAGCATCCATTTACCGGGAGGGAGATTGTAACATTTTATAAGAACAATGCGTCCTATTTCAAGCTACTTAACTTTTCCTTGCTTCTTAGGTGTCTGCTGTAACCTGGTCAAGCACTTTTGTTGCCACCATCTTCAAAAAATTGATAAGAGCTTCTGTTGATGTTGCCATCGTGACAAGTGACTGACAGAAATGTTGTTTAGAAAACAGTGGGGTGAACAATGGAAAATACTGGAGCTTCGCCAATTACAAAGTGTCCTGGGGGGTAAGTGGCAGTATGTTCTGTGTGAGTCGTCAGGAGGGCTACGGGGGCGTGAGTTAAGGCGAGCTTCTATTGGACACAACAAAGTCGACATCCCTTCATAGGTTAAGTTGCAAGTCAATATTCTTTTCACGTGGCATTTTATTGATTTGACATCTGCTTCCCATAATCCGCCAATGGCAGGTATGAAATGCCATTGTGTGCTATCCAATGCTAACATTTCAGCAATGTGACCATCAAACTTCATCTTTGCGTTTGCCCCAGCTGTGATAAGTTCTTTGTTGACGAACCTACTACCTTCCAAGTTTCTTTCCTGGTCGCTTCGCAGAGAGAGGCCTCCGAGTCTTACCTCTCCGTCCACCGTCTCCAATCATTTCTATGTGCATCAAACGAAGGTCATCTTTGTTGACATGCAAACAAAAATTGCTATGTAAGGAATATATAAAAGTCAATATTATGGGCTTCTTAGGTGCCAAGTTTATAGCCAATTAGGTGCTCTAAAACTGTAAAAAATTTGTTTCTTTTTCTAAATGCTGTTGACTGCCTTGCTGATGGGATATGACTTTGAATATCGGCCTAAAATTGTTCTCTTGGTTATAGTATCAGCCATAGAAGGTAAGTGAAGATTTTTTTTAAATATATCTCTTCCCATGATCCATTGTAAGGCTAGTGCCCGTAATGTTTCATCTATCTTTATATCTAGGTGCACTTGAGACCTTCTTTCAGATAGATCGAATTGTTTTGAGTAATCTGCGTTGTTTGATCACCACTTCTGAAGAGTGAAACCTTTCTGCAAAAGGGAATCAATCTCTTTTGCTGCTGTGATTGCATCTTGAAATATGTCCTTGCTGGATGCATGGATGCCTTAGATCATCCATGTAAAAGTCTTCCTTTATAATTTGGCAGCACCAGAGTAATCTCGCTTTCATTTTCTGCAACTTGATGCAAGGTCCTTACTGCTAAATACGGAGCAGAAACAGTTCTAAACGTAACTCTCAAGAGACGATAAACTTATACTGGTTTGATTTGCAACTTCTCCATAATATTCTTTGTAGATTTCTATCTTCTTTTGAGACTAAAATCGAACGGTACTGTTTTTGGATATCATCAACAAAACAGATTTTTTCTTTCGCCATGTTATGATTAAGCTTCTCATGTCGTCTTATATCTTTTTCTACCAATGGCTCTTCATTGAGTGAAATATTGTTTCCCTTTTGTGAAACAATAAGAACAGTTCTCACTTTACTTGTTTCTTTATCTCGCTTTACAGCGGTGTGCTGCGAAAGGTATATTGTTGGGTTATGATTTTAATGTTCGTTTACCCTTTTTAAATGATTTAACTCTATATACACTTGCATCACTTTTGTGTATTAGCTTTCTAAGCTTTGGTCCTTTTCGAATTTCTTTTCTAATTGATACAGTTTTCTTAGTGATATATCCAACTATCCACACCTCCAAGGCCTAGTTCTAGCTAATCCAGGCTTTAATCAACCGGACGAATAGACATGTTATTAAGTAAGTATACCTAGACGTATGTGTCCAAATTATGACAGGTAAAATGATCAAGGATCCTCAAGGAACTCCATGTGCTCAAAATACCAGCCTGAATGGATTCTATTTGACCACATACAAAGCAATAGAGAGAATGGTGATGTTAGTGTCATGCATATTGATTTGAATTTTGGATATGTGAGAGCAAGGTACAGACGCAAAAAGAGCATTAACAGCCGAAGAAAAACAATGTGAAGAAATATATTAAGCTACAACGCACAGAACATCAGACGGATGTTGTATTATAAAACTCCCAACTAAAACAAAAACACTGTTATAACCATCAGAAAATACTGTGGTGGTACTAGTAGCAAAGTGTGGTGATAAATGAACATTGGATATCCATTGGAAGTTCAAGAACATTGGAGTTTCCTAGATTATTAATCTTCGTTTCCTAGATAATTAATAGTCTTCGCTTCATGCGCTTGGTTATTGTTTAGTTGTTTTGATGATGTCACCATATTTTGGTGCACTAGAGAGTGGTAACGATTATGTATGCATATACGACAGGACTTTATGAGGCGACATTTCTTTGCTGAGTGTTCCGGGGCTAGAAAATTAAAACAAGGACGTAGCCGCAGTAGCGACATGTAGTGTATTTTCCTTACTCCTTGTTATCTTGTCCCTTGGTGAGGATCTAACTAACTCTAATGTACGAAATTTCGATTGAAGAAACTTACAGAGATCCTCCCACATAGGTAATTCGTCTGAATTTTGCCAGTAAGTAAACTCCTCCCATTCTCTGTGCGTCTCCAGGTCCAATTTCTGCACAACGAGAAGTATAATACATCTATGGATCCTAAGAGTCGGTTGAAATTTTAAACTTTTTTAAGCTATTATTGCATTTTGTAGTGGTATCGAGAAGTGCCTTCAAATAGTTTGCAGTTTGTGCAGGAAACTTCCTCTGCATAAATAATCTTTTCTAGAGAGAGTTTATTATGATACGTTTATTTCTGTAACGAATTTTAGGCATCACCCATGACTGATCATAGTTTTCTTCTGTTACTTGTGTGGCGGCGCTGTCGTCGCGCCGCAAGCGAAACACACCGAAGCTTAAATCACGCTATTAACATTCCGAATCATAAACAGCATAATATATAGAACATCTCCGAACTATCACAAGGAGTGTTGGCCGCTCCCCGGGCGGAACACCTTGCCCGGCGGGAGATCTGCCCTTTTCCTTCCACGGCCACACTTGGATATGTTTCAATAGACTCGGCTTCACCAGTAAGGTTATTTTTAAATAGTCAAGTGCAGTTTACTAAGAGATGAGTTGTTATGTACTAACGACATAAATTTTTAAAAGAATTCCAATACTTTTTTATCATTTGTAGTCGAGTTTCAATGTATCCTTTTGTCAGACGCTGCTTAGGACATTTCTTTAGGTTCTTCTGAGCCTTTTGTAATAATGACTCAGTGTTTTCCTTTTTTTGGAGAAGTGGCCATATTTATATAAATGTTCCATAAAAGTATTATAAATATACTAGTTTTAGTAATTTTCATACACATTTAGTTATGGTGTTTCATAGACATATTTTAGGAGTAGTGCATTGGGATTATTTTTTTGTTACAATTAACAACACAAACAAATTAGAAATAGCTTAGAAGCGATCACTTTATTCCCAGGGGTTATAATCATCCTTTATGGATTGATTCTTTAATATTATAATAACCCTTTTTATACAGACTTATTCGTAGTTTAATAAAGTTTTTGAATTTTGTGCACGTCAAATTTTGTATATTTTCTGGGATTTGTTGTAAAAGAATGAATTACTGACTCGGTGCAGTCGAGTAACTGGTACTAATAGCTTGGGCCTGCTCCTAGTATTAACATTACATTTAAGTATACATACATCTTCATAAATGTATTGAGAAGCCAAAGTTCATATATTAATTGTAGCTTAAGTATTTTTCGTCTGAAATACGTACGAGACGTAGGTACTGTATGAGTTGACTATGGAAAAGCTCTGAAAGTTCACATTGTTTCCGATAGATGGAGTTATGAGCATTTTGTTTTCGCCAGTCGTAAATTACCTAGACCGGCTTTAGCGTCAAAAGTGCTTATGGCTGGTGCTGCAATCGTTAATTCGTAAGATAAATATGCCCATTAAAACGAATCTCTAATGGGAGAGACCCATGTTCAGCCCTGGACTTTTAAACAGTGATGAGTAAGAATGAAAAGGTAGTTAAAGATTTTTGTATAATATATATCAATAGACGGCCTCTTCAGCCTTAATTACATGCGCACTAAGTTACGGCCAATTCTCCGAACTCAGACGATTGCGAGAGGACGAAAAGTCTAGTTCATTTCTTTTTTGTAAAACGCTAACATTGTTTTTGAGAATCTATCGTTGATTTTGTTTAATTTGAATAAGAAAACGCACTCGCAAACGTCGCTTTGAATGTGCGAACTTTGTCAAATTGATTTGTAGTTCATTTGAGATAAGTTTGAAACATTATTACGTATTTGCCCAAAAACAACCACTTTCGTAAATAAAAATACAACTGCAAAGTATTTACTGTGCCAGCTACTCGCCCGCAGCCACGCCTACGCCCGCGCGATTCACAATTGTGACATAGTTTTTGTTTTGAGTTTCCGTTCTAGTAGTATAATATATAAGTGTTTGAAAGAAGTTGTATAATGTGAGGTGTAAGGTGGTATGATGGGTGCGTGCAGGTGTACGTGGGCACGTGGGCGCGCGTGCACGAGCGTACCGTGCGCGCGGCATGCGAGAACGCGCGCGCCGCGCTGGCCGCCGCGCCGCCCGACCGCGCCGACCTGCTGCTTGATGAGGTACCGCCGCGCACCAAGCACCACGCTACACGCACCACGCAACACGCAACATAACGCGCTACATGCACCACGCAACACTCACCTTGCAACACGCTCCACGCACCCCGCAACATGAACCCCGCATTACGCACACGGGGTGTACCATGAACACTGCATCACGCACTCCGTACCCCGTTAAATCCGTATTATGCAAACCGCAATCCACAACACGCACCTCGTGACATGCACTGCTCCACTTTTGACGTTTCACATCAATTATTCCGCAATAACTTTGCACAAGCATAGCGTTTTACGGAAATCCGAGGATTTATGAAGTTATCTATATTTTATTACAACGTGTACATAGTTTTTTTTATTACTAATTTATATTCGAATCTTCCGAACAAAACAAAATATTAAAAATATAACCATTATCAACTTTTTTACCTGACGTCGTTTCAATGATATGTCGCTATGTACCTTACCGTAGTATTTGGATGGTTAAAATTCATTGTTATGCGAATAATTGGCAAAAATATTCAAATATTCGGTAAAATATTCAAATAATCTAATCATTAATTTTTAATGTATTATATTTAGTGACATTCTTATTTTTAAAATTCCTTAAATTACGTGAATCATGAATAAAATAAGTTTATTTTTTTTTACTTTATCGACGTAAATTTGTGTACACAAAAAAACTCATATACAAAGTCGCACTTAAAAAACCACTACGTAATTTCAATCTCGCTCCATTTCGGGAGCTTACTGTGCGTACTTTTGTGTTTGTCTTCTTATTTTGTGACTCGGCTTTAACTTTTTGGACTGTTTCTTCTATATTCGTTGAAGCATGATGTCACAAAGTGACATGTTGATTGGGCAAAAGTGGTAGAAATATCAAAAAATTTGATTATGTATGACTTTGAAAGAGACATTAATTTTGACTGCATTATTGAAAATCAAATAATAATTAATTTTAACAACGACAGCTTAACTAGGTGTACCGAAAGTGATTGAATAAATTTATTTTTAATCTAGTTTCAAGCATAAATTTTTACAACTGAAAAATAGCCTCTAGAAATAAGCAGTAACAACAAATACGTAGAAACTGATAAATCTTTTTTAAATTATCCGTTTTTAATATATTCTGGTACTATTAAAACCAAACTGTAAATGATTTCCAACTCTAAATAATCGATATCGATTTTTTTAGGAATCGAATATTGTACGTTCCCATTTTTTGGTTGGCATGCTTGGTGCAATAAGTCTGACAGCTGTCAAATGTATTTCTTAGATTTGGATGACTATAGTTTGACATTATGCATTATGATATGACCATGCCTGTATATTATTTTTCTTTTACTGTTTTATCCAAATTAAGATGAAATAAGAAAATATATAGAGCGAAAGTAAATATTAAAAGGTGTCGAGGTAGACCGAGACTAACTTTCGAAGACCATGTGAGCAAATTGCTCGAAGAGGGGAGGGTCAAGAGTACTCGGATACCTAGACGTGCATGTATGAAGAAGTTAATGAACCTGAAAGAAGCGAAAGAGGTATGTAAGGATCGTGACACTTGGCGATCTGTTCTCTCTGGCTACCCCGTTAGGGATTGTGCGTGAAGATAAGCAAGATGAAATAATATTGTAATTTTGTATTTTTCTAATTTTAATTATTCCATTGCACGTTGACGTAATATTTGCATACTGATAAACTGGTAAAACATGCATGTACACACTATTTTACAAGACCTAAAGATGTACCATTTGTATGCAGATAAATATTTATTATTATTATCACGCATCCCGTACCACGCACCCTGTACAACGCACAACGCATCCTGCACCCTGCACCCCACACCTTACATCTTTTCACGTCCGTTTCTCCTATGTAACATATTATTTTATTTTATGATCCGTTTCATTATTAGTGTAGATAAATATCAGACATCCTACACACATACCTATGCCTTAGCAGTGAGGTGTTGGCTACATCTTGTAGCCACTTCACTGCTAGGCATAGGTTATAGAACGATTAATTTTACTTAACTTTTTCAATTTGACGTATTACAGGTATTGAATTTGGTAGAGGAACTTTGCAACGCCGAGCAAGATTTTTGCACGCAGTTCTTTCACCTCGATGTTGATGTTAAGGTACGTGACTGTTCGCTTTGTTGAATTTGGTCGATTCTTATTCGTGGAAAATAATTAAACGAAAATTGTGAACAGGGTGAGAGTAGCGACGGTGACGGTGAGAAGAGTGAGAGCGGCGAGCGTGGTGAAGTGCCGCGTAAATGTGGTGCGGAGACGAGGCGCTTCATGAGCGAACTATTTCCCACGCTCGACAGTGAGCTGGTGGCGCTGGTAGCGCACCTCGAGCGCAGCGACCCCTAGTGAGCTCCATATACAGCTTCCTTAACTTCTGTGCACTTTCATTGTACTAAACAATCTTAAGTGCTGAAACATTTTGACTGTGTAGTGATGGTGTAGGAAAATCCACTATCCTATGTCGTTTCGTGGGCGTCGTAAGACTTGCCAGAGGGAAACTAGGAGACTGGCAGCGTTTTTCTTATATGATCTAGAAAGCAAAAAATTGATAAATACTTGTGAAGCAATTTATGTCCACCAGTGGACTTTGATAGGCTGCAAAGAACAAATGAAGCAATGAAGTACAGTGAGAGTGCCATCTCTGCAAGTTCCCGATAATTTCAAATGCAAAGCGCTTCAAATTTCACCTTACGACGTTTTTGAGACCGAAGAGCTAATAATTGTAAATTGTAAGTAATGAGGTTCAGAATCACCCGATTGTGATTCAGTTCGCGGCAGTCGACGCAGTTTTTTCAGTTTAACAAAAAATCTATTACAAAAAATTTATTTGATGGAGAGTTTTTCAAGATATTTTGAAAAACACTTTTTCGAGATTTCTTTGGATAACGATGTCTCTCGAATGCACCAACCGATTTTGATGCGGTTGATGGCAATCGACGTTGTTTTTTATATAGAAGAGCTGTTTAGAATACATAATTGATTAAAACAAGGGTGTCGAAGAGATTCCTACAAAACCGCTTTTTGAAAATCAAAAATCTCGAATTTTTGAATCTCAGAATCCGCAGTGATGATTCGATCTAAATTCACAGAAAATCTAAGTTTAGCGAGGCTCTTTCAGTTGCCGAGAAGAGTTAAAATGTGATAAACATTAAGGGATCAACACTGAGGTATTTTGTTAAAATTTTATTTGAAACGCAACTTTTCAATTATTTCACCACCACACGTCCCTACTAGCGAAGGGTGGTGTGCGGAAGATTATTAGTCCTCATTGTCCGTTGCAGCGGCGCGATGCGCGCGCTGGCGTGCGCGGGGCGGCGCGTGCTGGGTGAGGGTGGGGCGGGCGGGGCGGGCGAGGGCGGTGGGGCGGGCGGGGAGGAGGCGCGCTGGTGGCGCGGCGCGCTGGCCGGCGTGGCGGTGGCGGCCAAGCGCGGCGCCGACCGCGCCGTGGCCGAGCGCCTCGCCGCACTGCCCGACGCCGTCAAACAGGCAAGTACCACTATATCGTACTCGTATATCTGCATTGTATTCGTAAACCAACACACACTTCTATAGTATACTCCTGCACGACCCTTAATACGCTCTTAATTACGGTCAAATCTCTTAATAAAAAAAAAACGAATCCTACTATTATAATAAATGTGAAAACCAAATAACTAAGTATGACTACTAGACGCGCACTACGGTATTAACATAGTGCACAGTAACGCTGAACTCGGTGACTTCTTCAGTGGACTGCTGGCGGACGAGAACACTAGTTCTTTGTTTTGTAAACCGAGAACGTTATTTTCGACACATACACAACTTTATCCATAGCTATGAGCTATGATGCAGTATTTGTTCTAAATTGTCGGTCTGCTTGTATACATAGCAACTCTTTGTTATATAATATACACTTCAAAAATGACAACTTCTTTAGTTGAAGTTACGTCTATTTTTATCTAATAGTTATCAGTATAACAGATACAGTATATTTGAAGACCATAAACATTTAATCTAATATCTCGTGAGTGTAGAGAACCGGAGACCCTTTTTACTGGAAACGAGGTATTCTTAGTACTCAAGGTTGCGCGTTAAATCCTAAACAAAAATTTTTAGGTATGGCGCACGACGCGGAGCAACTAGTTTTATATAACGGGCATGAGTCTGACTCTCGTACTTTTTACAGAGGGGTATGCCTTGCGATGCCGCCTCCTTTGGTTTAATACTCAAAGGTGACAACGCATCTGCGTTTTAAATTTTTATCGAGATTATGAGGGTGACACTGAAAGTTCTTAGAAAGTCAAAAACTGAACAAACTCAAGTTATTATATTATTATATCTTTTCAAAATAGTGTTCATTTACATCAATACATCGCTGCATCCAATAGAACCACTGAGAAAAACAATTTGCTCACTCATCCTTAAGGGTCTCTTTGACGGCATTTTGAAACGTAGCCACCGCTTCCTCAGCGTCCATAAAACGTTTTGCTCGTTTTATTTTCGGAAATGAATAAAAATCCCAAGGTGCTCGTTTGGGGCAATAGGGCGGGTGAGCCAGTAATTCCACGTCTGACATCGCCAAGTAGTCGATTGTTTGCTTGCTGGTGTGACACGAGGCGTTGTCGTGGTGAAGGATGATCCTACTACGAGGTCGTTTCTCCCGAACTTTTTCCAAGATACGTGGCAAACAATTGTTAGTGTACCACTCTGCAGTAACTGTTTTTCGATCCTCTAAAACAATTGTTGCGTAATGACCTGTCCTACCGAAAAACGAGGCCACCATCTTTTTTCCCACGCTTCGACCTCTTCACTTTAGTCGGCAACTCCTCGGAAGGAAACACCCACACAGCAGACTGTCTCTTAGTTTCGGGATCGTAATAATACGTCGAGCTTTCGTCACCCGTAAGTAAGTCGAACACAGCATTTGTGTCACCTCCGTTAAGTCTTTGAACCATTTCACGACACCAATCAACACGACGGAGTTTTTGGGCCTCTGTCAAATTATGAAGTATCCACCGGGCACAAAGCTACCTGACCGTTAAATTTTCATGGAGGATTTTGTGCACTTGATTCATACCGATACCTAAGCTTGTCCGAATCTGGTGATAAGTTAGTGTTTTGTCAGTCCTATCATACGCCGCACAACACTGATGTTATCGTCAGTCGTCGCCGTAGAAGGCCGTCCCTCACGCAGATAATCGGTGAGACTTAATTGACATCGAAAGCCATAAAAAATCATTCTACGAATATTTTCTCGCGTTAAATTCACTCATTTAAAAAAAAGTCACAGACGATTTTCAAGTTGCCGCCAAATCGTAAACAAATGACAAATTAATAAAATACATAGACAATAATATTGGCAAAGAGTTTCATTTTCAAAATTTGAACTTATTTTTTTATTATATCGTTTACAAGTGGCCAGTTCTAAATCTCATTCTAAATCGTAAATATAGATGCCTATGGGCCTCAGCATCCACTTATAATCAGGTGGATTGTGTGCTTGTTTGCCACTTTTAACCTTTAACAAAATCTCAAGGTTGGTGAAGCATTGGGCGAAAGTTATTTCTTAAAGGAGCACGACATATCTAACCCGATCACACGCTGAGATGTATACATAGAAGTAAAACAAAGGTTTGCCAATTACACTTGTAGTTTCCCATGTGGTTTCATGCTTACTTTTTAATGTAATTTTTAAATTTCTTTTCGGAAGGCCTTAATATATCATTAGGAATTTTATTATGAAATAAAATTAAAATAAAGATAAATAAATCTGTTGAATGTTATGGAAATATAGCAAATAATTGCAAGATATTCTATTTTGTTATGTATTGGAATTGGTAGTTCACAGTTCATACCACAAAAGTAATAATCGTTCAACACGTGCCATGCGTTATTGCCATAGACTAACTGGCTCATAGTGTTGCCCGCCAATAAGAACAGTAAAATAAAGTTAACACTATGAAATTCTTACTCTAATACTCCCACTAACTTCATATTAACTTTAAATTAGCAATTTTATATAGCTATAACAGTAACCAGATAAGAGAACAACTGAAATAATATTTTAAAAACAAAACAAGAACTGAAATTTTTCAAAACAAAATCTTTAAGAACTCTAATTAATTATATAAACTTAATTGACAAAGTTTTGTTCTCTATGCAGAATGATTTTTGTGTAGGGAGAGCTTTTGTCAAGAAATCAGCTAATTGATTCAAGCTACTAATGTACATGATGTTTACAATACCTTGCTCTACCTTTTCAAGTACCTACTTTATATCAATATGTTTTGACCTCTGATGGTACCCAGTTATTATACCCTGTTATATTGTTGAATATATCCACCAATATCTATTAAAAACTATCTTAACCGCAAAACTTCTTTTGTTGCATCACAGGCAGCCATGAATTCAGCATCCATAGTGGACAAAGCAACTGTTTGTTGCTTTTTGCTCGCCCAAGTGACAGGGCTATTGTTCATGATAAATACCAGTTGTTGATTTTCTGGAGTCTAAAATATTAGCATAATCTGCATCTAAGTATCCCACAAGTTCACTATCGCTTTTAAACTCTATACCAATACTTTTTGTAGCAACTAAATTGCACTACCGTGCCAAGTCGAGCAAAAAAGTGGCACGGCCGCACCATCCTTTTCTCGAAGCAATTCAGGTCATTTTTGTGGATAAAACTAAAAGCCTGAATTTTCAGTAACCAAGCAAGCATTGTATAAACACGATATATTTCAAATATCACTCAATTTGAACCAGCAGTTCAAGAATTATAACTAGTCAACATTTTTTAATTTTGTCAGTCACTGACTGACTGACCGATCATCAAAATTCTAAGGCACTTCTAGCAGACATAGAAACTTTAAAGAATACAAGTAGTTTTTAGTGTATAAATCAAGGAAAAACGAAAATATTTTGCAATTTCGGTCCAGTTTTCTAGATACAACAACTGCATAAATAACTTTGTAATCCCATATAAATATATACGATTACAAAGTTACATTTACAGTAAATGAATCAGGGGACTTGTATATGTGTATTATAATAGAATAATAGGTGTAGATGACAGGTACGTTGTTGGTATTCAAGAAGTAAAAGGTACCGGAAAGGAATCAAAGTAGGACTATCTACAAAAAGAAATGAGATGCCATAAAACACATAACTTGTAAAAAACCAAGTCTCGCAACTCAGTTCTTCTACCGTAAAAAGTTCTGAGATCCATGTAATACCAAGTCAGTTAATTAATTCAGACACTACTTACGTCTCGTCTACACCAGACCAGTACGCGGTATACATGCCATGTGTGGTGGCATCCTTTCCCTTCCGTTTCGTCTCATTTACACATAACATCTATTCCTCTATTATACATCATATCGCTCACTTCATCCATCTTATCATTAATTGCTCCACATACATTCAGCGTAGCTAGGTGGGCTCCCGCAATCCTCTTTTCGCACATCCGGGAAACAGAACGTGACGGGTGGCGAACCTCGTCGCTGGTTTTTCTCCTTTTTTGCCTGATGGTGCGAAATTAGGGGGTGGTATATTATACGCCGCTACCACATGGTGAGGAGCCAAGTCTGTTCTTTCGGCTATGTCACCCGTTTAGCACCACCCGGGGGATACGTGTAGGGTGGGCCTAAGATTAGGTGGTGGAAGCCTACGGACACGAGCGACTTACCCCCAATTTTTATTAAAATATAAAATAGTTTTATTAAAAAGAGATGTACATTCTGTATATACTAGGAACAAGTACAAGCTAGTTACAGTTTGCAGCAGGGTATGTATGTGGTCTATAAAGTTGTAAAGTCTCCATGCGATTTTCTGTTGGATCGTTACTCACACTGTGAGTACTATTTGTGGCTAAACGATAATCTGTACAGCTGTCCCTGAAAGCTCTCAATCTCATTTAAAATCTCAGGTGTCTTGGAAATGTTGGCACAGTCGGTTTTCAACTTCGACTCTGACAAAGTCTTTGGAGCCCTGAATCTGCTCAATCGTTTCTTTTAATCGGAGCTGCATTGAAGTTATGTGAATCTCGCCACATGCATTTGAAGATCCCTTTGTTCAGTTGTCTGTATGCTGTCACATATGTCGAAGATCGCCGCTTCGTCCTTCCGGTTAAAGAACAAGTAGGCCGATTTGAGAAGGACCTCGCCCACTCTTCGGAATTAATGCGCGAGTTGTGTATCTATTCTTCCAGGTCCAGGATCATTTTGTCAGACCTTAGGTTGAAAGTGTTAACTTTTGAGAGATCAAGTTGTCTTTGGTGGCCACCAAATCTCCATCTGAAATTCATAGTAGCCGGCGCCCCGGTGAAACCATGGTTGCCATCGCAGCCAGCAATATTGCGAGGCTTTGGGGATTGGGGGCCGTTTCTCTATGTTTGCTCGAAGGGATTTTTGTCGTTATTTTTCTTAACTACTTAAAATATTATTAAGAAGACTATTAATTATTAGGAATACACTGCTGCCCATCTCCTGGTTTGTCCCTTTGTCGCCTCTAGCGCCCCGTGCGACGATGTAGGTCAGTGGATATTCTGAAACAGCCGCTACAGTTAATCTTGT